CCTGCAGAAAAGGGGAATGAAGGAGAGGATGGGATCATTCCCTTTGCTCTGTGATTAAATTGTGCTAAGCTGGATTGCAGCCTGAGTTTTGGGGAAGATGAATCTCCCATTCCTGGAAGTGTCCAAAGCCAACTTGGACGGGGCTTGGAGCAACCTGGGATGGTGGAAGGTGTCCCTGCCCATGGCAGGGGGTGGGAATTAGAGGGGTCTTCAAGGTCCTTCCAGCCCAAACCCCATCCTGTGACTCTCTGGTCTCCAGCAGAGGAGTTGGAACCCCAAGAAGAGAACCCCAACAAGTGTATTTTGAAATATTCAAAAGATTTCACTGGCAGGTGAAGCTCCCACAGGGATGGAAGTGGGAAGCCAGGGATGCAAACACGAAGTGAAGTAAGGGAGTGAGCTTGCAGCACATGTGCTGTTCTTCAGGCAATATCCATCTGTGTATTCTTCCCTCCCATTAATTGCAAGGTCAATTATTCCTCCTCCAGTGAGGATGATCTGTGTCCCCATACCTGAGTGACCTCACCTGAGTGATTCAGCTGCAGCAGCACCTGAATTGTTATCCTGCAGCACACTGGAGCCTCTCCACTTTGAACCCTGCCACACTTGGAAGTTTTAACCATTAGGTCCTGCTTTAAAGTAAGCATTTCCTCGACTTGGGGTCTTCTGATCAGTTTTTGGGGGGCTTTATCTCTTTCCTTATCTGGAAAAGCACCGACCCCACCCGTCCTTCTGCCACTCCGTGTTTGTCATTTCAGGCACTTCCCTGGCAGCTGCAAAGCTGATAGGAAGCAACAAAACTTTCAGTGTGGATTATCAGGAACACTACTGAGGCATTGCTTAATGCATCTGATATCTCAGCCTGGAGAACAGAAGGGGAAAAAAAAAAAAAAAGATTGGCAGCTATTGCAGGAATTCAGAGAGGGGCACCTTGGTAAAGAGTCAGGGGGAGGCTTTTCCTTCCATTACAGAGCCCTGGGCTGAGATGGATTCCCTCTCCATCATTGTCCTAAGCACATTATCCCTGAAAGAAAGAGGGTTTCTCTGAATCTGCAATTTTTCTGGGCTTCAGTGTTATTGAAATGAAACGGCTTCAAGGATATCTACATTCTTTACCATCATATGGATTCTCATCTCATGTAAATTATTTGGCCACTTTTCATTTTAATCCTCCACTGTCATTTTCTACAAAAGAGATCATTTGGTTTCTTCATGGAAGGTATTCAGCTGACAGCTGCCCTTTGTCTAGAAAGCAGTGTGCCTTTGCAGGAGTTACTTGTGCCTGCTCCTTTGCTTTTTTTTCTTTCCTTTTAAGTTCATATTGCTTCATATTTTTCATCTGTAGCTTTCAGAAACTTTTCAGATTGTGAACAGGTTTGTGGCTGTGAAGGGAATTTCAGACATCCTGCATTCTTTCCCTGTGTACCTGACTGATAAGAAACAGAACTAGAGGCAGAATAATTAATTTACTGCAAGAAGAACTGTAGTCCAAAAAAAATCACAGTGTTTTCACAACTTCTACATGAGCAAACAAAATAGTAAGTGATGAAGTCTTGAATTTTTTTTCCATGGCTTCCCTATCTTGAAAACTTAATTACTCTCATCTACTTTCCAGGAATCATAGAATTATAAAACCATAGAGTCATTAGGGATGAAAAAGACATTTAAAATCACCAAGCAGCACCATGTTCACCACTAAGCCATGTCCTCGAGTGCCACATGGTGGGAGGTTTTAAATGTTGTGCTTTGTGTCATGGCATGCCAGCCACAAGACCTTGATGGGATGGGGATAAAATGTGATGTGTTGGTAGAGTTTATGCACAGGGAAATTTGGAGGCTGAGGAGGAAAATCAGCAATTAGGGTTTGGATATTTTGGGTTACCTGAATTAGGGTTTGGATATTTTGCTTTACCTGGAGCTGGGAGACTTTCTCCTTTCAGGGTATGAGCTCTGATAAAGCAGCTTGCACTCCTTCAAACACTAAAATCACAATATGGTCATGGAGAGGAACTGTATGGCCTCAACAACAGCCTTAAGCTGAAGGGGAGAGGATTTAGGTTGGATTTTGGGGAGAAATTCTTCCCTGGGAGGGTGGTGAGACCCTGGCACAGGCTGTCCCTGAATCCTTGGAAGTGTCCAAGAATTGGAACAACCTGGGATAGTTGAAAGTGTCCCTGCCCATGGCAGGATGTTGGAACTGAATTCTTTAAGGTCCCTTCCACCCCACACCATCGTGGGATTCAGTTCTGAGGAGAAGATTCAATTTTGGGGAGCACAAGTTGAGGACTGGCCAAGTTTATAGGGAGGTTGAATATGTGGGGGAAGGAGAAGTCACATCATTAATGAGGATAAGGAATAATCAGGCAGGGGGAAGGAGAAACAGGTTCTAAAATTACTGTCAGTGCAGAAACAGATTTTTAACTGTTCCTGTAATTCCCCTCTCAGCTGGTACCCACTTGCCTTTGTGATCCCCACAAAAAATGACCAGGACAGCTGTGTGACAACTCACTGAGATTATTGATGCTTTTTCATAAATTGGAGATGTAGGATGAGAACAATTTCATGTTTCCTAATGAGAATCACTTTGCTTGTAGAAATTTTTAGACATTTTACATGAAAAGATCAGAAATTCGTGTTTGAATTTAAAGAAAACGTTTCAGAATGATGAAAAATGTCAGGCAGATGAATTTTTTATAACTTAGTTGTAAAATGTTTAGAGATAAGAATTACTGCTTCAGCAGTTTCTGAATCACAAAAATGATTGGAATACACAAAACTCCCTCATTTTCTAGAAGAGGTGTCTCATTCATTGTCCAGTTCTGGAAATTTGCTCCATCACAGGGAGATTTCCTGTTACCCCAGAGAACTGTAAGCATGGCCTGAAGTTTTGTTGTTGGTAGAAAATATTTTTGTTACTTGTTGGAGGCAGCAAAAGCCTGGTTGTGGCTTGATAAAGGGACATTGTTGAGTTAGGTGACAAGAAAAGGGTCACTGGTGACTCTGGTGTTGTCTTTGCTGCTTTAATTAGTGTCTCCATTTTTTGCATCAACAAGAATGGGCAGTTCAAAGACACCTTGATTGATAATTTTATGTGTTTTGTGATTTCTTCCATAAATGTTGGTTTTTATACATGTGGTGCTGACCTGGATTCCTGGTTAGGAATAACAATAAATAACAGAGCAGCAGTTCTCAGCTGTGAGCTCTTGGTGTTCCTTTATCTCAGGGTGCTCAAATGAGGAAATGATTCTTAGTTCTGGGCAGAGGACAGTGCTGTGTAGGTGGGAGAGCTGAAATATTGTCATGGAGCTGGAATATTGTCATGGAGCTGAAATATTGTCATGGAACTGGAATATTGTCATGGGATCCTGAGCTTCTGCTTCCATCACTAAGTACTGGAAAAAGTGTTTTCTGCTCTGTTTTCCAAGTTCTCCATTCCCAAAAAATGCACCTTTGTACAGAACATGACCTCTTTGAACAGAAATTTGCAAGTTGAGATAGACACACACAACATCACTTCAAAGGTTGGAATCACAGAAAGGGGATAGACATGGCAGAGGGGAGAATACACTTTAAAAATTATCATGTCCAGAGGGTGTGATGTTCATTCTAAATTCTCATAAAGCTGAACAAAAATACCAAACCTGTGTCAGGGAACTCCTCCTTTGATTTCTCAGTCACCTTAATTCCAGTAATTAATTCACTCCAATAGTGGAAGTGTTGGCTGACAAACTCCCAACTTGTCTAACACTTGAAATAAAGTTGAGGGCAGAGCTGCCCTAAAATTCCACCAAATTTAGAATTCAACCTGAGTGTTCAAAGTTTGGACAGAAACAGTTCCTGTATGGAACAGAATCTGGATTTCCATAGAAAGTAACTGGGGCCAGTCCACTGGATGAATAATAATGGAAAATAATAATTACCTCAATATGTCTGAATATCCTACTTCCAAATGTTCTGCAGTTAAAGGAAATAAATATCTTCTTTTCAAATCCAGAGCAGCTGTCCAACAGCCAGACCTGCTGCTGATCAAAGTTGATAAAAGAAATGCAAGGATTATATATTATGGATAATCTACAGAAAAAACAGTGGTAGTCCCTTGTGCTTGTGGTGTGATTAACAGAGTCCATTGAAGTAAACAGGACATTTTGTTGGTTTTAATGCAGATCTGATAAGCTCTGTGGAATGTAAATCAGTTCATTAAAATTTGCAGAGCGGTTCAATGAGGTAAAAACAGGAAACAGTTTTAACTTTTATAGGATGTTTACTGCATATAAAGTACAATAAAATCACAATTATTCCAGAAAAAAATACTGTTAGAAACGTGCTGTACTCATTGTGTTGTTCTGAGGAAGATGGAAACAATTTTAATTGTGGTTTTAAAAAAAATAATCTGGCTGTAGAAACTGTCCTGTGTAATTTCATAGCATCTCCACACCATATCTGTCTCTGCTGTATTTGTGGGGTTTTGCATAATATAGATATTAAAGTATGTGTGGATGTGTATATATTAACAAATATATATGAACAAGGATCAAAAGAAATGTTAAACAGCTCCTTCTACCTAAGCTGGGGGTGTGTCAGGGGATAAATAATAAATAAATGAAAATAAAGTCAAAGGCCTGCAGTGTCTTGGAGATGATGGTTCACTTGACAATCTTAACTCTGATATCCATGGAATTGCCTGCATTCTTGGGTGTCCTATTATTGGCTACTATTATTATTATTATTATTATTATTATTATTATTATTATTATTATTATTATTATTTGGGTGTCCTATAATATTCCAAATGCTAAGAAAATACTTTATTTATCTGAGGGATTCCATGTGGACATAAGTGCAGGCTGATGTTACTTTACCCATAAAATTCACTGGGACTGGTACCTCTGGAGGAGTGCTGCATAAATCAGCAGCTGACACCTTTTAATGGAGCTGCTTTGGTACCTTCATGCTCTGATTTTTTAAGAAAAAATCTGTTTTTTTTCTTTCTTCTTTTGCAGTTACTTCAATGAGAATCAATATCCCGACGAGGCAAAGAGAGAAGAAATTGCCAACGCCTGTAATGCAGTTATACAAAAACCAGGTGAGGAGCTGCTGGGGGGTCCTGCCCAAAAACAAAGAGCTTTCAGCACTTTTGTTCTCTGACTGATATTTGCAGAATCACTGAATCATTTGGTTTGGAAAAGACCTCCAAGGTCATCAGCCTTTGACTGATAAATCAGGATTTTGGAGTAGGAAGGAGCTCAGCTCTTCTGTTTTTCAATATTTTTCAGCTTCCAGGCAGGGATCTCATATTAGAACCTGAGAATGGAGAACCTTTTCTTTAGGTTAACAGGTTGCATTTTCCCTGTTTCTGGAGAAGTTATACTTGGGAGAGGAGAATGAATATTCAGTGTAGTGCTAGTGGATGCACCTGCCTTTGCTTAGTTTTGCTAACCAAACATTTACATAGATCTCAGAACTTGTGTTTTGGATATATTTAGATTTCATACAACCAGAATAAAAATTAATGAGAAGGCAACTAAGGCATGAGTCATGCACATGGAATCACAAAATCATTTAGGATGGAAAAGCCTCTGGGATCATCGAGTCCAACCATTCCCCAGCAGTGCCAAGGCCACCACTGCTCTGTGTCCCCAAGTGCCACATCCACAGGGATTTTAAATCCCTCCAGGGATGGGGACTCCACTCCTGCCCTGGGCAGCTGTGCCAGGGCTGGGCAGCCCTTTCCAGGCAGGAATTGTTCCCAAAATCCAACCTGAGCCTCCTCTGGTGCAGCTTGAGGCCATTTCCTCTTATCCTGTCTCTATTCCCTGGGAGAAAAGATGGATCCCCACCTTGTTACCTTTTCAGGGAGTTGTGGAGAGCTGGGACTGTCACCAGGGTGACAGGGTCACACCAGTTTGGGATGGAAGTGTCCTCTGGAATTCATCTGGTGAGGCAGAACCAGCTTAGATGAGATGGTTCAGTTTTCAGTATCTCCAAAACCAGAGGTTTTCCCACCTCCAGGGCCCTGTTGTACAATGTTGAGCACTCTTAACACCTGCTGAAATTTTCCTGAAAAATCCATCAGGTAGAGGACCAGAGAGAGATGAGGATTTGATTCCTGACTGTGCTGCTGGTTTTTGGAGCAACTTGGAACAAAGTGCTGCAAGGCCATGTCAGGGAGCAGTAAAATACTGCCAGTGGTGCTGATGCAAAGCATTAGGCAGCAGCCAAGCTATCAATTTCCAGAGTTTTCTTTCTTTCACTTGTCTCATCTCTCCTAACTTAACTTAAGTGTGCAGATTGCTGCAATTACATGGGTGTTTTGTATGCTGAATAAATAAACTTTGAGCAGGAGTGAGAAGCAGGGGAAGCTCAACCCCTGTGTAGCCTGCAGAGGTCTGAGGATGCAGATATGGGGAATATTTTATATAGGGTCAAGAGCAACTGAAAAGGTTTCCAGGATGTCCTTGGAATACTGAATTCCTCCAGTCTTCCCTTATTTATACTGATGACCAGATAAAGGCATAGTTTTTTTCTATAGCTGCCTTCTGGATTTTATTGGGGTTTTTTTGTGGGTTTAAGTGTAAAAATCCAGTGATCTGGTTTCCAGCATCCACGCCCATTCTCTCAAAAGATCCTGAGTGTCCTGGCACAGTTGAGAGGGTGTGATGGGTGCTGGGGGCTGAGAGAAAGGAAAGCAGATTGCAAGGGTGACACAAAACCTCTTCATTCATTTTACTGCTGTATAAAACAATGAACTGTACCCCCGTGACACATAGTAAGACAAGGAGCCCCAGGGATGGGCTTTGTGGCAGGAATTTCAGTTTTTGGAATCTCAGTTTTGTACTTGGACTGGAAAAGCAGCCCTTTATTCTGCCATGGCTCTGGATTGAGTTGGTTGAAGCTGCAAAGAAATTCCTGTATTTCAGATTTTTTTAAAAAGAAGAATCTTTTTTTAAAAGGTTTTTAAAAAGAAGAAAAGGAGGTATTTGGCAGTTAGTGCCACAGCACCTGAACACAGGAATTTGATCCACATAAAGTTCACTTTTTTCTCATTTACAATGACTTGCCAGTGCTGTCTGTGTTTCAGGGGTTTCTCCCATAAAATCCCAGAAAAGTTTGGGTGAGCAGATCCCAGGACAGGGACAGGGACACTTTCCACTATCCCAGGTTGCTCCAAGCCTTGTCCAGCCTTTTCTTGGATACTTCCCAGGGATGTGGCAGCCACAGCTTCTCTGGAACCCAGTGTCTAACACCACTGAACAATTTTTTTTTCCCCTCTGTTGCTTTCCTAGGAAAAAAATTATCGGATTTGGAGCGAGTTACCTCCCTCAAAGTGTACAACTGGTTTGCCAACAGGAGGAAGGAGATCAAGAGAAGAGCCAATATTGGTAATGTATCACAGAGCCTGCCTTGCAAGGCTTGGGGTTTGCTCAGGAGAGGTGGCAATTACGTAAGAATAAATTAGTGAAAACACCAGAGGTGCTGACAGCCTCAGGAGAAATGTGGAGGAATTATGAAAATGAGTCCCTTGCTGTTCCCAGATTTTTGGTGAAATACGTGTAATTTGTAGAATTCTGTCATCAGTGCAGGAAAAGCGATGCAGTTACAAAGTTTTACTGGAAGATCTGCTTTAAAAGGCAAAATGAGAATTTTGTAAGTGGAAGGAGAGTTGCATTTCCCTCCTTTGAGTATCCAAACTGAAATCTGAAATGAAACCTCAAAATTATAAATAAAGGAGATAGAGATGTTGGCAGGTTCACAAACTGAGTGTGGTGTTTATCCTGGTTATATCTCTGCCCCTGACAGCTTTCCAAGGTTTTGCCCAGGGACAAGTGGCTGGAAAAAAGCCATCTTTTTTGTTGATGATCAGGAAAAAACAAAAGTCACTTCAGAGTTAACCCTGTGGGTTCTTAGCTGATCAGAAGGAAATCAAAAGTGACTCTGAACTTGTAGGAAGGAGACCCTCTGATGTTGATAATATAGAGAGAATATAATACAGAGAATAAATTACCTCAGTGGCCTGGATTCAACAAACTCCTGCCATTTATAAAAAGTTTAATGCTCTTACTTAAATATTATGCAGAATTACTTTTGCAACACATGAGTGAGCAGACATCCATATCTGCTTATTTCCAGTATTTTTAATTATTTCAAATGTTCCCCTATTTTGCCTTATTTCTGAATAAGAAAAGAGCTCTTACTGCATCATTTAACACGTTACTGAAGTTTAACTAAATTTATTTTTCTACAAGTAAAAATGGCTTCTCAAATGGATGGGGGAATAAAACAAACTCTGTCCAAAGTGGGTGGAGTTTAGTGTTTGGGGAGGAGGTTTGGAAAAAGATTAAAAAGAGCCAAAGGGAGCTGTAGATATATGGATCCTAGTGGAAGATGGATTTTTGTGTTTTCAAATCCCTGAAGTGCTTTCAGAAATTTCTCCCATCTATTTTCAGACACTCTCCACCCCCTTCGAGTCCTGCCAGTCCAAACTATGGGGGAAGATTGACAGGGAATCCCTTTGCCACTGCAGTACCTTAGAAATGACACTGATTTCTGTATTTCTGTTAGGACTGGCTGGAAGACAGGGATTTGTACTCACAGACAAGTCTGGTAGTTGGCAGGGAAGAATTTCAGGCAAACCAATGTTTGTACCTGTGCTGCCTTCCCAAATGTTGGAGAGTGAAGAGGAAGGGGCTAAAACTGTTCCTCCAGTTATTCTAACTTCCTGTAAAAGTGGGGAAAAAAAACCCACCCAAGTTACTTTAACTACTCCAATGCATCAGATAAATGAGGGATCCATTTGCTTTTTTCGAAGAAGCAGCAATCCTGGAGAGCCATGGAATAGATGTACAGAGTCCAGGGGGTCATTCCAACAGCGACGACGTGGACGGCAACGACTACTCAGAGCAGGTGAGCACTGGAGCCTCGTGGCCTGTCCTGGTTTGAAAGCCAGGTGTGTGCTAAGAAAGGCAGGAGACTCTCTTTGAAATGGAGAATGCAAATCCCCTCCCTCCAAATTACTATAATTTTGAAATTAAGAGGCTTTCCAGGTAAAGATGTGGGAATCGGAATAAGAGTTCTTTACTAGGAAAATTAAAATAAAAATACAGTATTACAATAAACAAACCCAAAACACTGCCAGAGTCAGAATCAAACCTGACCCCCCATCAGTCACTCAGGGGTTGGTGCAGTCCCATTCAATGGTGGCTGCCAATCCTGCAGTGACAGATGTGGTTCAGTTGGAGCAGTGCTCCTGTAGAAGGTGCAGGTTTCCTCCAAAGCTCCAGTGATGATGTAGAAGGGTCTGGTTTTTACTCTGGAATCCAGTGGGAAAAGGCTGCTCTGGTGTTCCAAATCTCAGATTTTATCTAGGTAGGAAAGGCTTGGCCCCTCCCCCTGGGTGCAGCATCTCCCAATGGGATGATGGAATTTTATCAGCCATGCAGGGGGACTCCATGGGATGATGGAATTTTATCAGTCATGCACTGGGATCCAATGGGATGATGGAATTTTATCAGTTAATTAGTGGGACCCAATGGGATGATGGAATTTTATCAGCCATGCACTGGGAGTCAATGGGATGATGGAATTTTATCAGCCATGCACTGGGACTCCATGGCCCATTAACAGGAGATATCTCCTGGAGGAAGGATGGGTTGTGGAAAAGATCAAGAACACTGCCCCAGCTGGTTTTAACAGCTGGAACATTAACAGAGAATATCTCCCACAGAGATCAGGATCACTGCCCCAGCTGGTTTAACAGATGGTGATAGAATTCATACTGCTGGCCACATCCTGTATTACAACCTAAGAGACATGCCCCAAACAGGGAGAACTCAAAACACCTAAAAAGGCCCTTTTCCCTCTTGAAGATCCTGTTTTGTGTGGTTTTTTTGTGTCATTGTGGTGGGGAAAAGGTGAGAATGCAGTATTGACCCACGTGGATTTGCTGTCTCACAACAGGACACTTGGCAAGTACGCAACGGGGAGGAGGAGGGACGATGTTCCGAGGGAGGCAGAGAAGCAGAGAAGGTAGAAGAAGACAGGAGGATCTGCTCCAAACAAGCAAGTTACAGCCCTCACACCACACACAATGTCTGAGACAAGGCAGGAGAGCCTCACCTCAGCCAGAGCCCTGCCATAGCACACTCTCTTTCCCCAGCACTGAGTTCCACTCCCTCATGAAGGGATGGACAAGTCTTTCACAGTCCTGTGTGTCAGGCACCAACAATTATCCCCAAAAATACTGGGCACCTCCTGCACCTCTGATTTCTTCCTGCAAATTCTAGTCAGGGCCACACCTGCTGTGAGCTGCTGACCCAACCCCAGACATGAGCAGGAGGGAGCCCTGCCCAGGACCCTTCAGAATTCCTTGTGTCAGCCTTTCCCAGCAGGATTCTGAGCACTGAGCACCCTCCTGGAAGGTCCTGAGCTCCCTCTGTTCTGTGGGAAAACCTTTCAGGAGCTTCTCAGGATCATCCCTCAGTCACTGACAGGCAAAGGGTGAAGGGTGGGGGGGAAAGGATTTGATTTTCTAAGCTCTGACCTTTATTTGGCCTATTCCATATTGTTCTGCAAGAGTGTGCCACTGTTTTGATTGTTTACATGTTATCTGTCTTTTTGTTTTGTTTTGTTTTTGCATTTTAATTCTTGCCTGTTCTCTCTTTTTCTTGGTTATTTTTAACCCTTGACAGCAACTTCTTTTTCAAATTCTCTAGCAAAAGAATACCCCTTCCCACACTCTGAGCCCTCACCTACCCTAAAGTTGGTGACCCTTTCTGCCAGGTATTGCAATTGCATCCCCTTCCCAATTTTCCCAGTGCTGGCCAAACCCCCCCAGGGCTGTGTGTGCTTGGCACCAGTCACTCAAACCAATTCACTCACCTGCTTTTGAGAGGAGATGTTTCAGGAGGTGTTTCAGATGATGCAGCTGGGCTGGATCACTTTTCACTGCCTCTTTTGGGAGAAGCTGGGAGTTCTCCCTCCCCAAAGGCTGCTGGTGGAGTGGAACAGCAGCTGAGTGTCCTGGAATGAGTCCCTGGCACACTTGGCACTGGCCCAGTTCAGCAGATCCTTGGCAGAGGCATCCCCAGCTGCTCTGCTCCTGATGGGGGTTGAGACCCTTTTTATAGGTCAGCACCAGCAGATTTGGTGGGACCAACTTTTCTGGCTCTCAGTGATGAGAAGCTGCTCTGTGACTGCCATAAAATATTTAGAAACCACTGCCAAGCCCAGAAAATTCCCTGTGAGACAGATGCAGGACTGGAATACTGAGGTGGAACGTGATGTAGACTCCCAAACTATATTTTTCTTCTGTGTTTTTCTTTTGTGTTCTATATTTTTTTCTTTTTTAACTGGCATACTTTGAAAAGAGAAATAAATTGGTTTTTAAAATTTAAAGATCTTTGTTTAGAGGCCGTAGAAATGACATTTCTCAGTAATCTGGGCTCCTCTACGAGGTTTAATTAGTAATTAACAGCAAAGCAGATTAAATGGCAAGTTCTCCTGATGACCATTTAACATCCCTTAGCTGTTAAACCCAGAAATTCTGTTTTCCACAGCACCACTTAAACTCTAATAAACTTTAAAACACAAAGTTCATGTAAATACTAAATAAGTGCCTAAACCCCCAGATTTTAGGGCTCTGTATTTGTACCATGATAAAGATTTCTGAAAGGCCCTAAAATTTACCAGACCCTTGTTATAAATGAATGAATCCTTCTAAATAACCTCAGGATTTTACAAAATCCTGGCTCTTTTTTGTCCTTCTCAACATTTGCCACCCATCATCTTCATTTAAAAATGCTCTATGCACGTTTTAAATTTCAAATCACACAAGTTCATCACTTGAAGGCTGTTGAGAGACTGATAAATGTTTATCATTTCCTTTCTGTAAATGATAATAATTTAAAAAGCCAAGATCACAGGGGCATAACTATTAGTGCCCTATTTTAAAGAGGGGAAAACACCATGATTTTTCCCAAAATTCCATATTTTATTTATAGTTGTTCCAGTCCCCTTCAGTCACTGGTTTTCTTAGCATTCAAAGAGTTTTCCAGCAACTTTTCCCCTATATCTGTGTGAATTCAGTGTTTTCACAGGATGCTGACTTGGACCAAGGGTTAGGCTCAGTTTGTGATGTGGTTCTAGTAGCAGTTAAAGAAAAAGTACTTTTAATATATATGGAATTATTTCATTCTAGTAACTCCCAGCTTCTGGAAGTCAGTAGTTTTAGGAGGCTTCCTGAGTTTCCATAATTTTTAGCACACTAATTTTCCCTGGATTTGTCAACCCCCCGCCTTTTAAAGCCATTTTTACTTTAGTCTGATGTAAAAATCAGTGAATCCTGAACTGAGCTGTGCTAAGTGAGCAGTGCTTCCCACTGCTGCCTTGGATCACATTAGCATTCCAGCCAGTGTCTTTGATTATTAGATCATAAAAAACCATGGACAATTGTCCTCTTATTTTCCAATTATTTGTAATAAACATTTATCATATCAACCATCAGCCATTTCTTCCCCAAACTGGAGGACTTGACTCTGTTTAGCTTCTTCTCATGAGGAAACCTCTTCCCTGGGGATGTTTTTTTTTTCCTCTGCCTTTTTGACTTCTGTTGTGCCATCAAATAGAAAATCAGAGAACAACAGAATGGTTTGGGTTGGAAGGGATTTTAAAGTTCATCTCATTCCACCCCCTGCCATGGCCAGGTGACCAGAGCTGGATATTCCAACGATAAGCATGGATCTGTGCTGTGCCCAGTGATTCCTTTCTTCATTTGCTTTCCTCACTTAACCTTGTATATCACTTCTGTCTTTATAATTCAATATTTTCCTCCAGAACTGAGTTCCCCACTCCCTGCCTCACTCCCCTTTGTCTCCTAAACCCAACGAGCAAAACCAATCCAAAACCCACGTTGTGACCCCTCTCTGTCCCCTCCGCCATCACTCAGCGCATTTGTTTTGTCCTCTGTGGTTTTGAAATAACCCTGCTTCTCTCTGCTCCTTTCCCACATGATTGCCAGGATGACAGCACTAGCCACAGTGACCACCAAGACCCCATTTCTTTAGCTGTGGAGATGGCAGCAGTCAACCACACCATCCTGGCACTGGCCCGGCAAGGAGCCAACGAGATCAAGACAGAAGCTCTGGACGACGACTGATGCCAAGAAAGGGGAGGGTCAAAGCAAGAAGTAACTTAGTTTTAGACGTAGCACCTTAGCAGACTTTCCTCGGTCCTTAATATGTGTTCTTACAGTATAACTTTGCAGTTTCTTGTACGTCAGTTAGCTGTTAGGGTCTTGTTCTGTGAAGATGGCATGGTGCCCTCAGCCTTTGCATATACTCTCTCAGTATTAATTCCCAATAAATAATCAATCAACCAACCAACCTCCCTCTCCCGGCCCCCAGTGGCTAGAAAGGTAAAATCCGAAAAAAAAAAAAAAAAAAAAAAAAA